AGTGTCTCGTTTTCAGTCAGGGACGCCTTGGACATTTGAGACAGCGTAGCCGCGGTGTACAAAACAGCATCTGCTCGATTGTCTGTTCTGTAGTGTTCTGTCGTCAGTGCGCAGAAGAAGCAAACCTGGACTGCGCTGCGACGTTATCAATTTTTGGAAGCACTGCCCGCAACACGGCTGGCGTTGCGAAAACGCGCTTCACCTCAGCGATCCCTGGTCTGATGCGAGAACTCCTCACAGACCACGGACATTTCATCGAGTCAGCTCATCGTTCCACTGATGAAACGTACAATATATACGGATATACCTACGCGGGTACGAGGTAGAGGGGACTACTTGAAACATGTTTCCGGAACAAAACGTTACTTCACTGACGGAAGGAGTTTGGTTCTCACGTGTAGGCTACGTATCAACGATCACCAAGTGCTCTTTAATTTTCACCGAGGCGACCCGCCGAATTGCGTCACACCCAACGTCCACACTTCGCAGCAGTACTATACGATGCCCTTATTAGGCACCACAGGATCTACTCAGGACGACCGATGCGACGTCAAGGTGCGACACGAGTGCCTCCGGAGGAACACCTGGGAACAAAATGCGCCTCGTCTACGCACACCGTGAGACTGGTTTCGCTTCACGCTAATTGCTTACCTGGTTGAACCACTGAGCACGAGCGAAGTTTGAAGAAAGAGGTGAATTCACATGGCGTCGCGACCATCGATTACACAGGGCCGACGTATGCCTTCCCAACCGAGTCATTGTACCCCTGGCTTATCTATGATAGGCTGCGACATTTCTGACGGTTCAATGCCCATCATGGCACATATGTACCTTTGGGAGCCGACGTCTCACCCAGTCGCCTCGCCGGGATTTCTCTAGCGGCAGTTGCAGTGTGATTTCTGGAGAATACTGTTTGCCGGTATCGTGGCACGTTTGATACCCATGATTGCCAATGCCAGCATTCTTGCCCTGTTCGAGAAAAGACCCGGGCCAAGTACTGAAGGAGTCCAGTTCACCAGGGTCGCCCAGTACTGACTGTCATACTAAATTTTGGCGTATTATTTGACGTGAGTGCAGGGTTTAGAACCACCCCTAAAAGATCACACGACCATGAGGAGTAGTAATTCATCAAACCTCCATGAGCAGCCAAGAAAACTATCGTCGCTACTTGTGCGATGAAATATCAGAGACCGTGCATTTTGGATGCCGGCGTGCATTTAGATGTCCTAATTGTTGCCAATGTTCAAGGTGACGTCATTGGAACTGATGTATTAATTATCTCCCATCTCCCAGTCGACAGTCCATGCCATAAACGGTCGTATGATATACCAGTCATATCGGTGTATGTGTGTGTGTTGCATTACTTCTGATCCGCCGCTGCTGATCTTTTTCTGTCTAAAATCAAAAGTCAACTACGACACTATCCTTTGCGTATTCTCCTATTTGCCGCAACATTTGGAGAGAATCCAAGCAACCGACAAGCTCTGATCATGTGGATTGTCTTCCTGTAGAAAAGAATGGCGGAGATTCCTTGAATTTGCTGGCCTTTAGGATGAAACAGCGTTTCAGCGCCCAGAAGGGGTCAACATATTCTGGACTTGGCTCGACTCATCTCCAGAAAGTAATAAATGTGTTTTAGTGCCATATTGCATAAGGAGTTCTGGGATTTGAGAATCCGTTAGAAAGCCAGTGAATTCGGGCAGAGCCAGCCCGCGTATATAGAAGCATTCACTGCAGAAGTGTTGCTGACCCTACATCCAAAATATGTTGTCCACAAGATCCTATTTTTACTAAACAGCAAATAACGCAAAACCAACAACAGCTTGCAGCCGTCGGCGAAAAAGCCGAAAACATGGTACACTCTGTACTGAAACGATCATTTAAATTACGTACTTGGAAAAGCAGGAAAAAGTTTCTATTCTGGGTTATTATATAATCATGTGGAGAAGCTAGCGGCATAAAGCGATACTCTCCAACTACAATTCAGAAAAAAATAACTAATTAATTTATTTTAAATAATTTTAAGACCGTCAATATTTCCACAACATTTACATATTTCCTTTCTCTCTCTCGTTTGAAGTTTTTAAAGTATGATCGTTGCAGCTAGCAGCTTACTTTTTACAGGACTCATCTGCGGTCTCGTTAGTGACACACGATCTTATTAAAGGGCTGCAAAAGTTGACCCAACTGAAGGCGAACAAATATGGCGAGGGCGTTCATGAATGCCTTGAGGGTCGTTGCGTTGGCGTGTAGTCCCGTGCAGTACAAAAACGTGCCAAAGAAGCCCAGCAATATCAAAAACCTGGCAGTACCGACCAAAACTACTTACAATGACATCATTATCCTTACCCTCCGGAACGTTTGAGGCAGCAACATTGTGTTCTGACGTTCCAGAAATCTAAAGCACAAATAATTGAGGGTCAACAGTCCCATCCTCCGAATACGAAAGGAATTGCTTGCTTGTCAGAATCATCTCGTCTGTATTTATACTGAGTATTTCACCCAACATCGGCTAAACTTGTTCTGCGAGAACTGCGTGTCGCAGCTGGTGCCGTAGTAGTCTGCCGAGGGGCCTAATTTAGTGAGGTATGTTGCGTTTCGGAAAATCAAGTCCTTAATTAGCAGCAACGTGGTGGCCCGGGCAGCTGGTTCATCCTTACTGGGAAAGGCGCCAAAAGAAAATACAAGGACGAGAAGAGCCCAAAACAGGACAAGGCTTTAATTAGTTTTGCATAATTAACTTTATAGTTAGTAAAAATAATCCTATGGCTGCAATTCAGTGCGGAGAGCAAGTCGTCTGCTTCTTGCGCAGGAGTTGTGGTGACGTCACAACGACGCGGAGCTCTGATCGACTTTGATTGAAAGAATAATGGGCAGACCTCAATCCTAGATTCCTTGATGTCTACCCGCTATTTTTTTCCACTCAGCCAATAAGAGCTCGGCGTTCTGGCATCATTGCAACCCCCGTGCAAGAAGCTGACGAACTTCCGCTCCACATAAGATTCACATTGCAACCTATGGTTGTAACGTAAATCTTAGAAAGACTTGAAGCACGTGAGGAGCGTGGTGATGCGCAAAAGTGACCGATTTTTCTACAGTTGCACAGCTGGCAGAGTGAAAATGCAGTGATAAGGAACTGATACTCCGCGAGGCCCTGTCGGGGTTTCCTGCGTTTTCGGAGCCCAGAAATGCAACATTTTTTTTATAATCTACCGATTTAATGGTTTTCGATGATGCCCATCAAGTTTCTCATTAAAAGCATATATTTATTTTCAATAACTAAAAATAAAGTTATGAAAATCTGATTGAGAGCGGTAGAATCCTAAAATGCTACGTACCTAAATAAATAGGCCCATTGACATCGGCCAATCCAGTGCCAATCGTATCTGCGCGATGCGTTGTTTGTACGTGAGTTTTGGCTGACGTTCAGTTAAATGCGTCGTGCGTGTAAATTCAGATATACGAGTTCTGAAAGTTGAGAGCGGAGCATTGTTAGCGGTATAGTTAACCTGAATGGCTTCAATTGCGAAAAACGACTTCCTTGGGTCGTGATGACAAAGTTCTATGTTATCACAGAAAACAGAAATTGATTTAATTGATCGTCACTACTTTCTTCCACCCGAAGTCCGAGCGCGGTCAAAGCCGAGAAGTCAAATTAACAGGCGCATACACACAGCGTCACGGTGCACTCGATCGAGCACGCGCAGAAAGACACGGCGAACGCCGTGACATTGCGCTTTCAGCAAACGAAGTATACCAGTATAAGCCCCGACACATACAGACGGAAGCTCTAGCGATTAATTCTATAGACCTTTGCATCGCCTATCACCCGGTCGAAAAATGCTGAGTCACTGAGCTGTGGACCCATGCGCAGCGTCTGATATACCGCACAACGGAGCAACGGCGCCTGCTGAGAAGGTGTTCCACAGCCCAGCAGACAAAGCGCGCAGAAGGCAATTCTTGCAAACGTCTATAAAGGCCTTTGCAAAAACCGCCTGCAGCGCGCTGCCGTCTTTGTCTGCTGGGCTGTGGAACGCCTTCTCAGCAGGCGCTGTTGCTTCGTTGTACAGTGTATCGGACGCTCCGCATGGGTCCACAGCTCAGTGACTCGGCATTTTTCAACCGGGTGCTAAGCGATGGGTAATGTGAAACAGAGTATATTTCCACGTGAATCCATGCGAGGAAACCACATTAAAGTCCGCATCAGAAACACTGTTCGTGCATCCCGGACCAGTGTGAAATGACAGGTGTAGACGCTGATGATATCCTGATAAACTGACCGGATACAATTATACGTGTGAGCATATTTCAACCCGAAACGACGTGCTTAAAAACGTTTAAAAGTCTGCGGTCACAAGCATTAGGAGCCGGAAACCTCTCAGTGTGTCACGAGAGAAGCAACGTTGGCAGAAAGACGAACTTCGGCGATAAGCTTAGGCCAGGTTGCATTGCACCGATTTAATTTTTCGGAGATGAAACCGTGCGTCCTTCGAGGGTACGACCCGATATAAATGAAAACGAAATGAAGCGTGCGTGTGATGGTACCTTAGTCTAAAAATGATCAGGATTGAATTCACACGTGTGCGGTTAAGTTTAAAGCAATGGCTTCTTCGTGGAATGTCTTGGCAGCTGACGTTCCCACAGTGCGCGTCTGATGAATATGATTGTGTATGGGGCTCCGTTGCAACGTGTCTTTATTGCTCCAACAGCTAACTTTCCAATACAAGGTCTTGCATTGCCGCAAAGCGATCTCGTGAGGTTAAATATTCGTTTAGACGTTGCTTTTTCTGCGCTGTAAGCTATTTCGGGCACGCGTTTTATTATGGGTCTATACTTTTTTTGTTTTGCTAAAAACGGTGGACGCCAACGTAGTTTCTTCTTTTTTTTTATTGTTTAATGTCAATCAAACTTCTAAAACATGATAGACATTCAGTTACCTTACGTACCTTATTGCGATTCATTTACTTTCGTTCTTACGCTTTTTGGTGTTTACATTGCAGCAACTGGAGATGGTTGACAATAAGGAGCGCCTTATCTCAGACTACACTGAGAAGCTGAAGAAAAGGATAAACCCACGGAACTTAAAGCGATACGTGGAGTCCTACATGAAGTAAGTGTGTGCCCTCCGTCACTCGCCCCCGAAGCCCTCTTGAAGTAGAATAATGAAGTGCTGACATTGCTTTCATCTCTTGCAGCCGAAAGGATATAAGTGGTCTGATTGAGACCAACCTCAAGTAAGTGCACGCTTCCTAATAGTAGTTACGTCGATCGGTTCCTTTTGTCTCGTGCGCGTGCAAAGCGCCCTTTGTTTCCAAGGGCAGCCAAGCTCGCCTTTGGCCCAACCCAGTGTTGTGATCCGAGCAAGAAGCCCAACGCCGGCGACTTTGAATGGGGCCCAGTGCGATCGGAGGGTGTTGTCACGTACAGCTATTCTAAAGTGCTGTAGAATAGCGTTTACGTAAAACTCGCTTTACCCTGGTACTACTCCTCCCGGGAAGTCTATATTTCAATTTTCTTTCGTCATCGTTCGTATCGCCTGCACACAAAAAAAAAAAAAAAAATCGTCCCTTTTTTAAAGTTAGGGATTTGAACGAACTCTAATCCGGCCCAAGTACATAAATGCCTCCATTAGTTAAAAAAAAAGGGTTTTAAAGCACGTTTAAAGCAACCTGGGTCGAGTTTGCAATGCGCCATCAAAATACGGGCGATCTCCCTGCAGACCCCACTTAGCTGCGTCCATGTATCTCGGGGCATGATCACTTCTCACTTAGTGGGAACTCCCGCATCGCGAGAGAGGCTGTTCGTCCAAATGCGAGCACTTTGATCGTTGCCGCGTCGGGCAGGAGTGTGAGGATGAAAGGATTCTGAGTGCGGGTTCTGCAAAATCACGCATTCTTCCGGGATTGCTTCGCGAGTATGCGAGATCTCTAGCAGGACAATTCAGTCAGGCGCTCGTCCTTTCCGTGTCTGAAATACGATGATTTATTCGTGGGTGGATCGACCAACGGGTGATCTCTCGAAAAAATGCATGACGATCTCACTACTAGCGCGGCTGTGTGCCCCTTCCGTTCGAAATGAGTCCCTCTTCGATTCATCCTCGTGACGAGCTGGACGCTTTCGACTGTCGCCCGATCCCAACGACGAACGGAATCAACGCAGGCTTCCCAGGCCGTGACCTCGGAGAGCTATCGTCGCGCGCGTCGGAGTCAACAAGGGAAGCCGACGGCGCCTTATTGTCTCGTTTCTTTCCCCCCGGCCTTGGACATATCGGGCACGAGGCGGCTTCTCAAAACCGCAAACGCAGCATCGCGCGCGGAGAAAAAAAAACAAAAATTAAAATCGCGGCCTGTTGGGCTCATTGAGACGCATCAAACGCGTAGCTCCGCTTGGTAAAAAGCTTCCAGTGTGTGCGTCCATAAAATAGTTTCAACCTTGGTACGTTAATACGTCACCGGGATATTATACGTTACTGAAAACATTAACCGGGGGACGGACTCGACGACATACGTCGTGGCCGTACCTGCGTTTATATACACTTTCAAAAACGTGTTTCAACTTGAGGCAGTAGCGGTTTGCGAGTTTTGTGGCGCAAGAGGTGCACTGTGGCCATACTGCGCCAAACTAACTAAAATCAGAAAGTAGCGGTATTAAAAGGGCTCTGAAAAGAAAACAAATTATTTTTTTTTCCTAGATAAACACATTTTTGTTAGCGTCCTATTTACGCCGTGAGACATATTTTGTGAAACCGAAACCGCTAGGACGAGTTCGACGATTCTAAATAGAAATTCGTTTCAGTTTCGCTCCTAACTGAAGATGTGTCTCACGCAGACTTGAAAAGTAATCCGTTACTTTTTTTAAAGCAATTTAGTAATGGCCACGCTACTTTTTTGCGGCAGTAATTTGAATGTAATTTCGTTACAAAATATTGGTAACGGGTTACTTTAATTACTCGTTACTTTTAAAAAAAATATGATCATAATATAGAAACTGGAGCAATATGAGCAGGCATATCATCAGAATAAAGATAGCAAGTTCGACAAAATAGAAAACATCGTGAAGAGGAGAGTAACCGAAAAGAAACAATTTTTTGTACGACCGGCCAGTAGAGCCACTAGAAAAACGTACAAGACGTATACAAATGTGCGAAAAACAGATCAACAAGACAACGCCGAGTAAGCATTGTCTTCTTGATCTCGTAGCGGAGGTAGACGCTGCTACTGAGCATGCGCACCGCTAGCTTTGTCTGCAAAATTCCAGGGATAATTTCCGGAGGCCGTAAGCTAGCGGGATGGCGGCTGTGGTTGCAGCTTTCGCTGCCTTGTCAGCTTACAGATGAAGGGAGTGCACCTACATTCCTTAAGGTACCCTGAGGATGTTTCTGAGATCGCCGAAATACGCCGATAATTAACGCTGCTGGATCTAAGCATCCTAGAAATCCCTAAATCATGACGATACGCTGCCGATTTGCCTACTAAGATCTCAACACATTTTGACATCTCCGATGATGGGATGAGCTTATACGCGTACTGAAGAAATCAGATCCCAACGGCTATAGCTTTCCATTTCGACGTAGATTAAGGGTTCGTTGAGAAGTAGATAATTATTAAAGCGAAAAAAAAAAACACGCTTGTATATTTCTTTTTAGTTTAATTCTGCCCGTTGAATAAAACCTAGTGATCCACCAAAATGAGTTTTGTGTCATGTTTTTTTTTTATTTTTTTTCTGGTGAATTGACTTGCAAGTTAGGGAGAGTAATTCAAGCTATGCCTGGTTTTCTTAGCTGCTCACTGTTCATGCATGCCGAAGTTGCTTACCGTTTGTTTTCTTAAATTATTGCTATTCCACTGGTCTGTAGTCGTAACTCCGAAATGGAAACACTTTATTTTTGTTTTGCCGTAGCAAGAAAAAAACGAATTTCATTACATGCTTTGATATAATTGTGCCACAACAGCTAGGTGGATGATTAAAACCAAGATAATCTAAATCTTGATTTAAATCATTATTTTATTCGCACCAATCTCGCTATCAGGATTTAAGTACCACTGGTTTGGTTATAATACATTAAATCAGACACGTTTCCCCAAAACTAACCTTTTTTATTTACCGTTTTCTTATCAGTGTCATTCCCAGGGGTATTTATTTTGCATCTGACGTAAAAAAAATCATTAAGCATAAAATATTTATATCAGGAAGCCAATAAAAAACACATCTAGTAATAAAACAAGTCACTAATTTCCAGCTGAAGAGATTTAATTCGCGTAAGTTGGATTAAAATGAGACAATCTGATTTATTTAATTAAAAAATATCCTGATTTCTTCCACCCTGACCAGAAAGAACCTTTATTTCAACTTAGGAATGAATGCTGCTAAGAACACGACCAAATAGATGTGTGTGTGTCTGGGGGGGAGTTGGGAAAATTTTCTTTTCCAGGGGCTCAATTCTACATGAAGATTATATCGAGCCAGGATGCTCGGCCTCGCACACATCAAGAAAAAAAAAAAAGAAAAAAAAAATAGTTCGAAACATGTAAACATGTACACTCAGGGCTACATCCGACTTTATGCATCCTAAAACCGAACGAAGTCAGAAAGAAACGTCACGTCAGGCGAACACCATGACAACACACACATACAAACGCACGCAATAAAAAGGTTCACATGGAAGCATTTACGGAAATAATACAATTAGTGGCGCAGCACAGAACATGGCGCAATTACAAAAGTAGAATTTGCTGAAGGTACTGAAAGTAACAGATACTTCTGGTGACAAAACTGGGTGATAAAGCTATGCGGATCGACTGATGGAGCTTTAGTTGTTTTGCGCTTCATTCTTCTGTACTCTGGCACGATTGAGTGACTTAACAAAGAAATGCAGCCTAGTGGGAACATCAAATGTCATCACGTCAGCAGTTGGTGCTTTGGAGTGATCACCAAATCCAATCTTATGGACAGGGGGCGCCCGCCAAGAGCACCCGATGGCTGCTAACGCGACAGGAAGTAACCGATGCAGCCGTTTGCTCCTCCAGTTGATGACTGCAGCGCCACAGGCGGCCGTCCGCTTTTTCGGCGCAACGCCTCCCATTGACGTTGGCCTCGCTTTTGCCACTGCTCCCCCTTCTAGAACAACTGTAGACCGGTGAAACCGCGGAGTGATATCTCGAATGCGCGCGGCTCGCTGCCCATAGAGCCGGGACTCCGATTCAATCCAGCGAGCGCGCGCTCGGGGCTGACGACCGGGCACATCACTCCCGCGGAAGACCAAACAAACAAACAAACACAAAAGAAAAACATAGTGCGCTGTTTTGCTTTTGTAATGGGGAAATCGGACGCGCGTCGTTATGATTTCTGGATTTCTAGGATGCTTAGAACTCGCAGAGTGAGAGTTAGCGCTACATCGAGGCGAGCTCAGAAACCTCCTTATTAGGGCACCTTTAAATACATTATTTTATTTTTACCAAGACTACCATAATGGCGGGCGTGTGAGAAACGGAAAGTAGTGTTGCAGAATATTTTTGAAAACATCAAAATGGTTTCTATTGTTCTCTTGACAAGTGTCTGGGAAAAGTAACGTGAAAGTAACTTAGTAACGTAACGAGTAAAGTCATCCGTTACTTTTCAGTGAAAGTAATTTGTAACGGTAATCCATTACATTGTTCAAGTAACGGGCGCATGTCTGGTCTCAGGGCATAACTTGCGCTAAATATAATCTTTTTTCCTTCTTCTTTTTAGAATTTGTTTTTTTGTTCTTTCTTTTTTTTTTTTTTTTTTCATACGTCTCCTATCTAGACAACTGAAAAGGAGCTTTTAGGGCAGTGTTTATGCCGTGAAAAATATTCTACGTTAGGAGCGAAATCACACTGATGTTTATCAAATAGTTTCTTATTCGTTGTTTCTGAAATTAAAATGCGTGGAGTGAAAACGTTCCCTGGAAGTAACCTCAGGTGCATATAAGTAAATTTTTAAATAACGAGATAAGTACCTCAGATACATTTTCGCACGAGTAAAGGCTGAACTCCATGGGACGATTATGTTGCGAAAAATCGACGAATTTCGTCTGGCGGCTTTTGCTCTGGCATCAGAACAATGGCTGCTATTCGCGACTCCAGCTAACTATAGGGGGCACCACTCATTTTCCAAGATGGCGGGTTTAGTGAGGGTCAGAGATGCGTGCCGCTGTTGAGCCCGTCTAGTGTGCTCGCTTCACTGAGCGACATAAATTATTTCTGGTAATACGATGAAGCTAATGTTTTATGAGTGCAGGTCACCTCTTTAACCTGAAAACAAGGACGGTGTTTAGCGTATTAATTACGGAAGGATCCGCGTTTTAATTCTGGAGCGAAACCGAAACTTACCTCTATTTTGGATTTAATTTTTCGACATAGGTCTTAATTTCGGATTCTTTCATGACTCAAGATGTACGTGTCTCATATCGTAATTATTTACTTATAAAAGTTGTTCGCGGAAACTTTATTTTGTGACATACTGTTCGATCCAGGCTGATACTCGTAGTTGTCGAAAAAATCAGTGCTGATAGCTGTGCGTTCTCGCTGCCTTTTTCTCGCTCAGATAATTGTCATGGGAAATAATGACAATTATCGCAGCACAAAAATAAGTGAATAATTTCAATTTTTACAATATGTCTACGAAACGCATAAACAAATAAACGCTGCTCTCACTGCAACAACCCAAGACGGAATCCGAGTCAGACAGCTGTAGTGTGTGTGTGTGTTTTTATAACACCGCGTGACGCGTAGGACTTCATATTACATCCAGCGTTTAACTGTTTGTCTATCTTGATAACTATGTCAGAGTTTTTCATATTCTAAAAAGAAAAGAAAATTATACCTTTCTGGAAAGACTATTATGGTTAAAAAGAGTATTCTCGTGATCTTGGAGTTAATTAAAGGCATAGATTGCCGCGATTTGTATTAATAATAATAATATTAAAATTCACATATTTGAATAAGTAATTCTTCAAGCTCTAATATAATTTGTTGCTTATGAAATAATTTTAATTAGTGCGAATATATATGACTATGAAAACTGTGCTAATTATCGTCACTGGTTCCAATTGCTGCATTTTAATTACAAATAAAATAAAAATAGTCAAAAATCAATTAAAACATTCGAGCTAATGTGAGAAATCAGTGTAAAATTACATTAATTGTGGGTAAAGTATATTGTGCTATCAAAGTCGCGACTTTTGACAATCGGCGAAACGTCCAAAGTCACCGTCAATATACTTCCAGACCAAATGCCCCAAAGTTTAAAAAAAAAAGCTTTTTTTTAATTACTAGTTTTTTCATAACATTTATTTACTTTTGTATTTGCTCGCCGTCGTTTTGCCAATCTCAGCCTTTCCAGTTCGAAGGAACGCCTACCTGCTAGCGCGTCTGCTCACTGCAGCACGTTTCGTTGGCGTTGGAAGCCGGTGAAACAGTAGTGAGTTTTAATATTGCGTATACGAGCAAACTCAAGCCCTGTGTGTTTGCGTTAGCTTTGCGCGTTCCACACTGCGCGTGCGCGGAGCCCGAAATCGCGGTCTTGGATGGCGTATGGCGATGAGGCGCACACACAACGTGGGGCACGCAACTCTAACGCAAACGCACACCGCTTGTGTTTGCTTCTATGCGTAATACTAAAACTCTCCAGTAAGGTACAATCCAATACCGGCTGCAGCACTACGTTGGGACAGTGAAGAGTGTTGTTTGCATTCAGAAACGACATTTCGCTAGCCATGACCGCGAGCAGTTCCGCCGTGCCCGCTGAGCAGGAGAATCGGGGGACCCTCACTAGAGCGCTTCCCGTTTCCTCCGCGGGAGGGCGAGCGTCGAGCTGGAGACGCGAATACGTCGCGCCCAAAGCGAGCGTGCCGTCGGGCGGCGTTCGTCAGTTATTCGTCGCATAATTCGCTCCATGGAATTCAGCCTTAATGGTAACTCTATTTTAGGGACACTTGTGGAGTGACATGGCAATCTTAATTCCAACTGTTACTTCAAGGGTCTGCAAGCTCGGTGGTATACTCAAAAAGTAACTGCTCGCGGGAACTAATGGTATTCCATTATTAAGTACACAATGATCAAAGATGCCCAGGGTACCTCGTACAGCAAAACTGCACGCGCACTACACCGAGAATATTTTATTTGGTGTGAGAACTACAACCAGGTGCAATTGATAGATGCCGGAACAACCTTTATCTTGATTATCTTGTTCTAGAAATATTGTCGCATACTACCCGAGTAAAAGTTTTAATCTTTAACATGTCTCGTAAGAAATATCTTAATATGCTGATTTGAGCGTATTACTTTTTATACATTGTAAAACCCGAGACGTAGGACAAAAGGAGAAGAAAAAAGAGGACAACGCAGACACAGGTCTCAAACTCAGCTGAACATTTATTCCCCCAGCCTCGCTTATAAGGACCACCATCCCTCGGCGCATGACGTCACACTGTCAAACACTCTCTCACCCACCCTTCACGAGTTCACCAGCTCGCTTGTATCTTCTCTATAATTTCTAAATTACTTTACTTTTTATACCTCTTTCCAGCTCTTAAAACCACCGTACTTTGGTATTTAAGATATTGAGAGCATCCGCTCTTGTAACTAACACCTTTCTCGTCGGAGTTATCGGCGAAAATCATACAATCGTTTTTAGAAGAAAAAAAAAGTTTGGGGCAAGAAGGAAAGGAAAAAAAAAATAAGAGAACGGAAATAGTGTTGCTCCTACCAAGGGTAGCAAATCTATCGGAACTGAAAAAAAAAAAAAAAACTTTTTTTTAATTACTAAAAAGGTAACTTTTGATTCATAAAAGTTAATAGATAGTACGCCCACAAGAATATTTTGGTTTATCCCCATGGACTGCAACAGTGCAGCCCACGGTGGTAAATAATAAACTAAATTCATTTGCAATCCCATATCTTGCGGTTCATTTCAGTAACTTCTTTGGTGTGCGGCAGAAACTTGACAGAAAAGCAGGCGTACTGGAATACGACCAAATACGCGAGGGCTGTCAAAGTCTCTTTTCGGGGAATATTTCGGAGGTGTCCAAGGTGTCGAGGGATGTCTCGGTAATCTGGTGATTAACATGTAAAAGTGTTATTACCTTAACGCGCCATACTTTCCAACTTCAAAATACCTTCATTCCTCCTCGCTAGAATGGTACACCCTTTCATCAGAACTATTTCTAGAGCGATGTGCGGGTTCCCGCAGATCCGTAGGGGCAAAGAGGATGTGTTTAAGGTTAACTGCAAAAAAAAAAAAAAGTTTTTTTTTAAACAGCCTAATTGGGACAAGCATATCACAAAACAAATATTCCCCGAAAAAACAAACTTTTTCTAGCAATATTTACGCCACAGGACGTAATTTAGTCGGGGTCACAACTTCTCCACATTTGAAACTCCCGCTCTTTCGACGCGCGCGGAGTGGCTGGTATACGTCACTCCGTGACGTATAGCAGCCGCTCCGTGACGTATAATACCAACTTTGTGGCGCGCGATTTAAAACGGACGAAATAGCTGCAGACTAAAATCAGTCTCGCGCAATAAATATTGCTGTAAAAAATTTTGTTCTTGGCAGAAAAATTGTTTTGTGACATGCTTGTTCCCATTAGGCTGTTTAAAAATATACTTTTTTTTTCTTTGCAGTTACCCTTTAAGGTTGGTCAAACGCAGTTGGGCGTTTGCCGAGTCTTCGTATAAGGAATCCAAATGTCTTTTTTTTTTTTGCAGGAGCATGGACGTACTGCTGGTGACTGGCAGCAAGGCGGCCCATGCGCAGGCGGTGCAGAATATGTATGCTCGCATGGACAAACAGAAGACCTCTATTCTCAAAGTGGATGCTGTAGGTGATGTCCTTCAGGAAGCGGTAGGTTAAATTCGTTCACTGCGACTCGCACGATTTCTTACTTTCAACATTTTAGAGATCTTCAGGCACGTCTTCCTTGTCGAAGCATTCAAAATGCATGTCGAGCAGTAGACACGCAGTTGAGTTTGCTACGAGCACGGGGTACGCCGGATGCGGGCAAAGGCGAACGTTGCCTCGACCCAAACCGCTTGGCCCACAAATCAGCGACGGAGACGCGAAGACCACGTCTCTATATCGCCGATTTGCAAGCCAACATTCTTTCTCTCCATTCGCACATGTAGCCGTACCACTCACCATCTTCCTTGCAGCATCGTGCACCCCTGGATTCGTAACACTTTACTCCCTACGCTGATCGCACGGCCTCATTCCGTTCAATCAACCTGGATTCCACTTTTCGCAGGTGAATTTCAAAGGTGAACGGGAAGTCAAGGCGATGTATACACACACACAGGACGCAGAGTGTGTAACAATAGGAACGGGATCTTAAATGGAGCGTGGAGGTTTTTCTTATTCATTGAGAGTTACTCGTCGAAAAGCTCGCTGTCATAGAGCACTGCGCGGGTCGGAATTTTTAGGCCCGACCCGGCCCGGTAGAGGCACGGCCCGGGCCCGGCCCGAGCCCGATAGAATATTTAATTTCTAGGCCCGGCCCGGTAGAGGCCCGGCCCGGGCCCGGCCCGAGCCCGATAGAATATTTAATTTCTAGGCTGGGCCCGACCCGGCCCGGAAGAGACGCTGCCCGAACCCGGCTTGGGCCTGGCAGAATTTTTAGGCAGAAGCTTGAGTCCGGCCCGAGCCCGACAAAATGTTTTTTTTATATATAAGACTGAGCTCGGGGAGGGGGGGGGGGGGGGGGGGGGGGGCCGAGCCCGACAGTTTATATACATGATCCCGAAAACGTTTGCAGGCTTTAACCTAAAAACTGTCTAAGCATAAAGCGAGCATATTTGATTTAAATTTCTTTTAAACTTGGACCGAGTCTTTTTGACGCGATAAATATTCCCACTTGGACGAAGTATTTTCGAAAATATGGGCGAAATATGCACTTCATAAGTGATTTTGAAGGAAAAAAAAGAGTGGGCAATATTTTATTTATGCATTTCTTGAAGAGATATTGGACTTTTCGTTGTTTAATTCATTTCACATAGAACTTTCCTCTCTATACGTTTTTGTGAAGAAACAATCAGAATCACGCTAGTGCATCTTCAAAAGGCTGTATAAGCATAAAATTATCTAGGGTAGTTAGCTTATCTTTGGTGGCATAGTAAGGCCCCCCGCATAAATTACAAAGTCAAGCTCACGTGTTTTCCTCTTTTTAGTTCGCAAGGCAGAGGAAAAAGACACTCATGTTGTACCCTGCGACTGGAGTGCCCTCGTTTTCTTCACCGCGGCGCCAGCAGAGTGAGAGCACAAGGTTATACCGTGTCTCGCTGTAACTTGGCAAAGGGTGAACGATAAGCCCCACATTGCGTGCCGAAGGCTTCGAAATGCGCGACGTATACGAGCGCAACGCACACATATTGGAGCATGACGCAGCGAAAAGCCTGATACTTCTTCGCAGCAAAAGCGCACTCCGGTGATACATAGTCACGTTCCAATTGACCCGTCAGGGCGCGTAGCTTCCGCCGTACTGGCATGTTACACGATCATGGCTTCCTGGGATACCCAGTATTTCTTGCTTCAGACACTAGGCTAAGCGGCGCCACCATAGTAAAAGCTCACGTTAGAAGAATGCGGCTGCCACTCCCAGGCATACCCAATATTTCTTACTTCAGTCGCAAGATAGCGCCAAACCAAACCGCATTGCAGGTTGCATGTGCTGGTACAATCCACACGTTTCTCTTTATCGACGTAAACGCATTCCAAATGTAAAACTTTTTTTTAACGGCGCTGTAGTGTTTTCATTGAACCTAAAAGATCAATGAGCACGCTTTTTGTTATCAAGAATTTATAATTTGCGGCACACGACTGCCCAGCCACGCCCCGAAAAATGTTTTGTTCAAGCCCGAGCCCGGCCCGGGCCCGAGAAAAAAATGCGTGCTGCCCGGCCCGAGTCCGGCTCGCGGGCCGAGCCGGGCTCGGGCCTTGGGGCTGGCCCGGGCCCGTGCAGTGCTCTACGCTGTCACCCGCTGTCGCATGGCCCCGGCGCCGTTGCGCTGTTTTTCATCCGTCGTTAGATAATTTCTATTGCCGCTCTCATAAGCAGCGCATGTTTGCACAAACCTATATACAATTACTAGTAAAAGAATTGTGTATTTTACGATCACAATGTGCGACCAAACAACACGCATGACAAAAGTGAAGCGCTGCTAGTGCATGCGTCGTATGCCGTGCCAACTTCGTGATATTAAAGCAACGTCAAACACTACTAAAAGATCCACTGACTTCGGGACAGTGCGAAGATAGGAAGGTGTGGACGGCCAGCCCACTGCAGCCTCCGAGTGACGGGCTCATTGGAGCGTTGTTCACAGTGAGAAAACAGTTTGAAAGGAATACTTTCAAATGCGTGCAGTTTAGATTTTGACATTAAAGTTTCCATTCATGTGAGAGAAGATATTCTGCTTGTGCCAGTCCTAGCCGCAAAGAATAAAAGGTAAGGGGAGCTTTGAGCCGCGATCATTATTCAGTTTTCCTGCCTTTTCTTAACAAATTAACCGAGTACTGTCAAGTCTGATTTTATTCGTAACGTTTCAAAGCGAAGGGACGAAAACACAGAAGGGGCAGTTTTTTTAAATTATTCTCCCCCTTTGAACTTCACTTCTAAAGGGGTATTCACACAAGGGAGAAATCCCAGGGATTTCTCCACGGCACGCGCATACCGCGACGAAAACGTCAGGCTTTGCGATGTGCAAAAGCCTCGCGTTTTCGTCTCGTGATACGCGCGTGCCGGGGAGAAATCCTCGGGATTTGTCCCTCGTGTGAATACCCCTTTAAACACGCTCTTATTCCCTTCCGTACGCCACAATACTCTGACAACGATAAATTGGACTTCAACCGTTGTGTTTTTGGTAACAACCGAAGTATCCTCTAAAACAAAAACTTGAGCTTCACTACTCACCAAGCACAATCAATATGTGCACGTATTCGTACCATCGGAGGACGAGCGTACATCTCCGAGACAAACTAGCGATTTGAGTTTGATCCCCCGGCCGATCGGTTGATCTGCCCCACTTGGCAGATCAACGGGTCGGCCATTCTGCCGTCACTTGTGGGTAGCTCCCCTGGCGTCAGAGAACTGCAATTGTTTGTAAGCAAAGCGTGCAATGCTATAACCAGTTGAACGTGGTAGTATAGCAAAAACTTTTTAAGTTGGAGAATTGATGTTCTGCTTTTTTCGTTTGATATTAAAGCGGAGCAGATCGAAATGCATGCTATTTCAATTCTATGCTTACAGGAGTCATTTCTAACATTGCCACTACAGCACCAGTTACAATGCTCTCGTATCAGATAGGCGAAAGGCGGTTTCCGCCGACTTAATCAGGTTGATAACGGAAGCTGCTAAAAATGTCCCATAACAGCATAAAATCACAATTTTATATTGACTTGAAGTTGATCATATATTATTTTTAAGATCCGCAGCTTATCGTGTTTGCCGTCATGCCCCGCGGTGTTTCAGGACGGGGTATGAAAAGAGAGAAGGAAAGCAGGGAATCACAAAAACGGGCTGTTCAGGTGCAGTGCAATGAGTGTACCACGCAAATTAGACCTCGTTTTTTTCTCACGGATAGATCTGCAGAGACTGGGCATTAAAGATACCAAAGGGAAGGCGACGCCGAATCAGACACACATGTTCAAAAATGCACGCACATTAATTAAAAAATAAAACGCAAACCGCAGTTGTTTTTCGTTTTTCTTTTTTTTTTCAGGAGGACCTTGTTTTTTAAGGTACTCTAGTCGAAAAACAGTTGGAATTTTCTCATTAGCAAGCCTTTATCGTGCTCTGTATAAACATAAGACTCTTTGGTTATTTGCTGTTACAAGCAACTCACTTAACTCCGACCTGATGAATAGACCATTTGCAGTATTCCCAAGCGCCCCGGTCCGCACTCAAGGAATCATGGGAACGGTGTTCCTTCAGCTGCCGATTGATCGCTAATTTTCGACCAACTCCATGGTTACACAGTTTTTGAGCGTAATTCGGAGTCGCCCTGAACAAGCGCCTGATATACCCCAAGGACCTGTCATATCAAGTTTAAAATTGCTCGTCAATGGCAGCAATTTTGACACTGCGCATGCGATCCACCTTTCACCCATACAAAAATGGTCTATGGTCGGCTATAGAAAATCCTTTGTATGGCCGGCTATAGAAAATTGGCCCAATTAGCTATAGCCGCTTCTATGGCTGTCTATAGCTTTTCCTATGGTCTACCCTATGGTTGTCTATAGCTTTTTCAATAGAAATTTGGCTATCGAATTTTGTATAATTTACTCTATGGGTCTCTTTAGAAAAGATGCTATAGCCGCCTATGGCTTTTCTTTTGGTTCCTTTGGCCGTCTATAGCTTCTTGTAAGGTCTTCTATAGAAATCTCTATGGCTTACTTTATGGTTTGCTTTAGACACCGTGCTATAGCTGCCTATGGATTTTCTTTTGGTTCCTTTGGCCGTCTATAGCTTCTTGTAAGGTCTTCTATAGAGATCTCTATGGCTTACTTTATGGTTCGCTTTAGACACCGTGCTATAGCTGCCTATGGCTTTTCTTTTGGTTCCTTTGGCCGTCTATAGCTTCTTGTAAGGTCTTCTATAGAGATCTCTATAGCTTACTTTATGGTTCGCTTTAGACACCGTGCTATAGCTGCCTATGGCTTTTCCTGTGGTTTCTTTAGCCGCCTATTGCTCTTTGTATGGTTCGCTATAGCTCATTCTATAGTTCCTCCTATGATTCTTTCTACCCATCGTGCTACGGCCGCCTATAGCTTCTTGTATGGTCTGCTATAGAGATCTCTATGGCTTACTTTATGGATCTTTTTAGACACCGTGCTGTAGCTGCTTATGGCTTTTC